ATCACAAGAGTGACTATCTCATCAGATTCACCGGTTCGGCCCATACTCAAGGGGAGAGAACTATACAAGGTCTTAGTCATTGGAGGCCATCTTAGAATTCTGCCTACCTCCAGTGGTATATATGGGCATAGAACAAAGGAGGGAGAGAGGATGGCAGGGGATTGACAAGGAAATACAGCATTTTTCGATTTACGGGTAGTTGCTTCAGGGTCAGTATAGGAAGAACTAGGTGCTAACTAACATACCCAAATTACAACCCGCTAGTTACTCTCATAGTTCAGTCTCCAGATCCTTCCTTCTGGGATGCCTTGGTGATGAAGGATGGTAGAGATAACGTCCTGTGGAGTTTGGTGACCTGGGAGCAAGGCCTGGCCTTGTTCTGACCCACGGAGTGTCTACAAGCAACTGAAGAATGTTAGAGTCAAAATTGCTCTACCTTCAGCCTCATAAAGATATCCAACCCCGGAAACACTTCAGTGTTTCCTTCCACACTCCCCTTGACATACCCAAGCAGAGAGCTGGGACAGTACACAGGAACATTCCTGGCACGGTCCCTGTTCCTTCCATTTGAGAAAGGGCTAAGCCAGGGCCTCCAAGAAAACCATGAACCACCAGACAAAGACAAAGGGCCAGTATATCAAGATAAGACAAGGAAACCTGCTAGGACAGCCAAGACCAAAATGGCCACGTGAATCACCTCCAAGTAACCTCCAGCCACATTATATGGTCATTATAATACATCTCCATGCTAAATGACACACCCACCTGCGCCATGACACCTCTGGCAAGGACCATATAAGAACGCAAAACAGGGATGTATCCCAAATTCCCAGGAAAACTCACCCCTTCCAAAAACTAATAAAAATATTCCTCCCCCTTATTCCCATATTAAAAAGCTTAATAAAAACCACGTAAGGAGGATGGGGCTGTCTCTTGCCTCAGGGCAGCCTCTACTCCCCCGTGGAGTGGATTACCTCACAATAAACTACGTACTTTTGGTTTTTCGCCTGGCTCATGCTTGAATTCTTTCCTGCCCAAGCCGAGAACCCTCTTTCCTGCAATACATTGTCCCACCTGAATGAAGTGCTTTAGAATTAACACCTTGGTTTTTCCCAAAGCCCTCTGATAGGAATTCAGCTCCACCAGCCCAGGAACTTGGGCCTGTCAAGGTCAAGGCTGAATGTATGGCGGTGTTGTAAGCTGTGAGTTATCAGAGGTGAGACTCCCAGACTGGTGTCATCCTCTGGCACGTGGTCACATCTCTAGGCCTTTGCCCAGGTTGGCTCCCTACCTGGATTGTCCCCCCCCCCCAGCAGGTGGAACAGAGGAAGCTGCAAGTCCAGTGTCAACCACCTGGGTCCCTGAGGTGGCAGCAAAACTGTTTACCAGACGGACTCTGTTTATTTAGAGCTGTGGCTCCCTTGTGCTGGCTGCTCTCTGCCAAGCCCACTGCCTATCAGACGCTCTTGGTGGCTAATTAGACAGGCTTCCTCCTAGCGTCCCAGGAGACTGGAGTGCGAGCAGAGAGCCCATCTGGGCGGGTAGTGGGCAGGGGCCTGTGGCTGCAGAGACCCACAGTAGCTTCTTCTTACACTCACAGCAGAGGTTCCAAGGCCACCCAGAAACCCCAGGTGGGCCCAAGGGTGGGTCCTCCCTGACTTCCTTTAACCTGGGAACTGCTTTTCTTGACACTTAAAACTATTTCATTGCAAACCGAAGACATTCCCAGGGTGCCTGATTGGACGTGAATCTCTGGCCTCCCCAAAAGTCAGCAGAGACCCACAAAGTGGAGAACGTGCCCATGATCACAGAGCAAGATTGCTCATCTGTAAAGTGGCTACACTGCCCCCACCCCCAGGCTGTTGCGGTGTCACTGGGCTTCCCATCCTGTACAGGTCCCCTTCAGGCCACAGCCCCTGTGTGTGAGGTCTCGCCTGTGGTTCGTCACACCTCACATGTGCTGTTTTGGTCTCGGGCCCTACAAGCAGCCAGTCAAGCTGGAAGCCAGAGGCCAGACAGGGCAAGGAGGCCTGTGCTTTCATCTGAAGACATGCCAGCATCGTGTCCAGCGGATTGGTTAACACCTCCACAAACCTTGGTGACATCCCACCCACGTGGTCCACAGATGACACTCACATTCCCACCTCCCTCCTTCCTTGCTGTCCTGAACGCCAGACCTGTAAACAGCTGCCTCCTGAGCACCTCCTATCATGTGTCCCTCAAGGCAACTCAAATGCAAACAAAGCTCAGTGTATCCTCCTTTGTCCCCATCCTGTGTCCCTAGCTCAGAGCTGGACACCAACCCCAACACTCTCCAAACCTGGGCATCCGCCTCGATCCTCCCTCTTCCTCACTTCTGTGTCCAGGCTCTGCCTGTCCTGCTTCCCAGATAGCTCATCAGTATACCCAGCCCCACGGCCACTGCCTGCTTGCAGTCCCCAGAATTCCTCCCCTGGGCCACTTGCCTGTCAGCCTTCTGTCTGGGCCCTGCACCCACCATGGACCCCTGTCTCTCATCACAGGCCCTTGAGCCAGGCCCGTCCTCCGTGTCACACGTAACAATGGCTAGGCCTCAGTTCCCTCTTCAAGGGGCTTTCCAAGGTTCTAAAATCAGGCCGTTACTCTGCGCAGCTTCGATGTGGATGAGGTGGGGCAGGAAGGACGACAGGACAAGCTCAGGCTGCAGTCAGGCCCATTGGAGTTAAACCCCAGCTGTGCCCCGCAACCAGTCATGACTTCGGGCACGTGGCTTGCCCACCCTGAGCCTCAGGAATGATCGCCGCACAGCACCTGCCACAGGGGGTCAGTGGGAGAGTCATGGAGACGACACACGGAAGAGTCCACTCCATTATGGGGACCATTCCTTCCTGCTACCATCAGAGCCTTGAGAAACTGGGGTGCTCCCAGTTTCTGCCACTCGGGTTTGGTTTTACAGGCTCTTCTTCTCCCCAAGAGACAGCCTGTCTGGGTGGCCCTCACCTGCCCTCCTGCACGCAGTCCCCTCTTTCCTGGGGCCGGCTCCTTTCAGGGCTTCTAGCTCACACAGGCCCTCTCAGTGGGTCCAAATCTGGCCCTGTCAAAGGACCCCTGTGTGAGCCTCAAACAGCGCATTGACAGGGCCGTGGTGAGGGCTGCCCAGCCGCTCGCGGGCTGGCTTGGCTTGGCCGGTCCACGAGACTTCCCCAAACCCAGCTATTTCCTGTTCCTTGCGCCGGCCCCGTCCCAGCTGCCTGGCCACAGGGTACAATCCCACTATACATCTCAGCCGATTCCTTGGCTCCAGGCCAGGGGTAGGGGTTGGGGAGTAACCTCAACTGTTCCTCGGGACACACGGCCATGGCCCCTTGGTGTCCTCTTGACGAGAATGCAAGGTTGGAGACAAGGCCAATCCCTCCCTCCTGTAACTTCTGCCCCCAATTCCCATTGGACGGGGGCTTCCAGCCCTCTTTGTGTGGATCATCACAGGAAGCAAGAGATCACACAGGCTAGGACCCCAGCCCCTCTTCCAGCCTTCATATGGAGTACGGGGGGGGGGGGGGGGGGGGGGAAGCCACTTGGTCTAATCCCTAACCACTGTGTAGCTTCAGGAAAGTCATTTGATGTTTCTGGGCCTCGATGCCTTCATGTGTGAACGGGAGCTCACTGACCATCTCTGTTAGAGCCTCAGTTTCTTGAGGATCTGATAACAGAGCAGACAAAATCCATAAAGAAATCTGCTCTCCCCAAGAAAGGTTGGCAAACAAGGTTGATAACACCTCTCAAATCCGCCCCCGTCTCTGCTTCCTCACAGGACGGTTTCACCAGCCTCCGTATGGTCCCTCCCTGCATTTGGTCTCTTTCCTAAAACCCAAACCCAAGCCTGACCCTGTAATTCCCCTGCAAAGACTCTCCCTGTCCCAGGATAAGTCCACACTATGGGGCGTGACATTCAAGGCTCTGTCAGGTCTCCTTTGGTACCAGTGATGGAGCCCAACTCAAACTGCCTCAGGCTTTCTGCTGACTCCACTCTCAGGCAGACCCACCGCAGCTCAGCCTGGGAGGAAGAAGGCGAGAGGTAGAGAAAGAGGAAAAGAGGTTATTGAAGAATCTGATTCCTAAGTCCAACCATGCCTGAAGTCAGAAATCCCTGGACTTTTCATTTACGTGAGCCAAGAAACATCATGACCACCTTTTTTTTTTTTTTTTTTTTTTTTATAAACTTGGTTCACCAAGGTTCCTGTTACTTGCAACCATCTCCTTCCTGTAAATGCCGTTCTTGGCTAAATTTAGCCAGGGCGAGCTTGCATACCTAAGGTATGCAAAGGCTCTTCCTAATCCAGGCCCCAACACCTCAACAGCCTCCTCTCCCTGCCCCTCCGCCCCCCACTTGCAGCCACACTGAGCTACCAAGCCCAGCTCCCCTCCCCCACACCCACGGAGGCCTTCCACATCCTGGAACTTTTGCCTAGAACATCCTTCTCTACTTTGCTTACTGCTGCTCACCCGTCCTTCAGACTCAACTTGGTGGAAACCTCTTCCAAGAAGCCTTCTCTGGCTGTCTGAAGTCCCTCAGGCTTCCCCTGTCATGGCGTTAGACATGAACTATTCTAATTATTTGTGGGTCTGTCTTCCCCTACCCAGACTATGGGTAACTGGAGGCAAGTCTGACCCATCTGGATCACCCCCAGTGCCCAGCGCAGCACCTGGCTCCAGGTGGGTGCTCTCCAGGTGAGTGGAGTTCACCCCTTATCTGGGAGACATCAAGGTGTTTACATGGTCCGTGATTCGTAATCAGAAACAGAGCCAGGTCATGATATTCTCCAGCTGACCATGACCCCTGTGAGTCTCTGGACTGAACAAACAGGTGTGTGTGTGTGTGTGTGTGTGTGTGTGTGTGTGTGTGTGTGTGTCTGTGTCTGTGTGTCTGTGTGTGTGTGTGTGTGTGTGTCTGTGTGTGTGTGTGTGTCTGTGTCAGGGATGATGGAGCCCCATCTCTACCATATTTAAGGAAACACATCAAACCCAAGAGAAGCACGTTGCTGCTTTATTGAAATTTCTTCCCCATCCCACACAAAGCAATTACATGAGCAGGTATTAGTAGGGAGTCTCTTGCACAGCCCTCTCTCTCTGTACCCCCCTAACAGACCCCAGAAAACCTGCCTCCGTGGCCCTATCTCCACCTTTCGGTCAGCTCCCTCAGGAGCTCCAGCCCCCAGAGAAGCAGGCAAAAGAGGGGGTGTTGCGGCCTTCCCTAAGGCACCACCAACACCAGCCTCCATGGCAGGGTCTGCACCCACAAAAGGCTTGCCTGTTTTGACTGAACTAACCTGTGGATTTAGTCCAACAAATGGATTTACCTGATTTCAGGGCTGAATTTCTGTTTGATCATAAGCATCGTACAGAACTGGGTTGCCTACCACCACGATGGTGATGGGTGGACTGGCCTGTGGAATGGACTGACAGCTTGTTACGAGAGATGATCATGGTGGAGGAGACCTGTTTCACAGAGTCCACTGCTAGGGCACTACTCTGACCGTGTGTGACTGATTATTAACGATGACAGCTCTTGAGCAAAACCATGTGTGTTGGAAGGGGTCGTCTGATGACTGAAACTACTGTTACTTCCTGGAACAGGCTGTTGAATGATGGTTTGGCTATTGTCTAGCTATTCAGACGCTCGGAAGTACCGAACTGACCAGAGTGGACAGCCAGTTATTGGATTAGATTGAACTGAATGGTTTGGGGCTAATCTGATTTTTTAAATTATTGCATTTAATCTCTATTCTAAATTGATTGATGGTTGGCTAACTTGATACACATGTAAGCAAGCTATTTGAAGAAATTGGATATATGATTTGGTGGGGAGGACTAATTGATGATTACTTGACTAAATTGTTGCGTGAACTGACAACTATTTACAAACCAATGCAATGGACTATTGTTTGACCAAATTATATTACCGGACTGACAATCAGCCTCTTGATTAAACTGGTCAAGCTGAAAACTTTTTAACCAAACTCACTGAATTTAGAATGACCAATTGTTTAAACAAATGTCAGAGATGACCAAAATAAGCCAAGTGTCATTGGACTGAATTTTTGAGAGACCCAAGGAGTCATTCAGCCTAAAGGATTGACCCAATTGTGAGCATCACCCAGGCCCTGCAAGAAAAGCAGACCAGCGAGGGGAACACAAGCAGATTGTCCTGACGTCAGCCTGGTGGTTCACCCAGGCCACAGGGGCCACCAAAGCAAAGAAGTGGATTGCAAGGCAGCTCCACCCCTCGCAGCACCAGGGCTCGGGCCTGGTGCACGTCACACCTCAGAGTATGGGGGAGGCGCTGGATTCCCCTCCGGAGTCTTGGGTGGCAGAGACACAGCTTCCTCGTAAGACGGCAGGACCACCTGGGAGGGACAAAGATAAGGGCTGAGGATTGGCCAGAAGGAGCCACAATCCCAACCTGGAGTCAAGAATGCTCCGACTTCACCTCTGGCAAAAGGATGATGATGACAACTAGCACGCCTGGGGTACTTACTACGTGCTAGGTGTTTCATGCACGAGACAGGTACAATTCCTGTTGCTATAGTGGACGGACTTGCCTGTTCAGCATCAAGCCCCCTTGTTTTGGTAACAACACACCATTTTCCCCAGGAAAACATTCTCAGCTCCTGTGCTTCCAGAAGAATTGACCCCATCCCTCAGATCCAGGGATGGACATGAGACCTGGGCATGGCCACTCAAAGTAGAACTTCATGTCCCTGGCTACCTCTCATCACTGGTTTGAAAATTAGGCTTGTGATCCAAGCTGGTCCAATCAGACATGGTCTGGGACTTCCTTTCTGCTAGGGTTACTGAGAGGGTGAGATGTCAGCCTAGGGATTTTGGCAACCATATTGCCCCCATGAGGAAAGGGTTGCCTAGAAATGGAGCCAACACTGAGAAAAGTGGAGTCAAGACATGGAGAGGACGAGATCATGTCCAGGTGTCAGGACTCAGCCAGGCCTGAGCCAGACCTACGTTGGACTTTCAAAATCTGTGAGCTAATAAACTCCCTTTTTTTTTTTTTTTTTTACTGAAGTCAAATTGAGTTGAGTTTCTGCCACCAAAAAAGTCTTGACTTATACAATCCCCATTTTACAGATGAGGAAAGTGAGCACCAATAATTTAAACCAGCTGCCCTTTTCCCATCACTTCTCCAATCAGCTGTTTCTAAGTGCGCTTCATCGCTCTGACTAGAAGGCCCCTGCCCCTTTCCCAGCAAACTTGTACCAAATGACAGTCTAAGATGTGGTCAAGTGTCACCTCCTTCGGGAAGCCTTCCCTGAGACCCTAGATGAGGCCAGCTGCCTCCTCTGTGCCCCCATTGACTCTGTGCTTCACAACGAGTTATAATCTGGGCTCTGTGTCTAGATTCACTCTGGACAATACACTCCTGTAGAACGAAGTGGTATCTTAGTTTTCTCTGCACCTCCAGGGTTGGACATGAGGTCAACAAAGAGTAAGAGGCAGAAAACGTTGACTGCATGCATGAATGAAAGAATCCTAGACCACCAGAGCTGAACGAGACCTGCACAATTCTTCTGGTCCAACCCTCACGTTACAAGTGTAGAAACCGAGGCCCAGTGAGGGAGACAGACTTGCCCCAAATGTCACAGTGAATGGCAGAGCTGGGACTTGACCCTGCGCCACACTCACCTTCTGGAGTATCTTGGAGCTGCTCCTGTCCTCGGCCGAGTTCATGGCCTTGATGCCTCTATAGCATCTCCACACACACTTGAACATGTAGACCTGGAAAAGACCCAGGTCAGACTATGCATTGCTGACCCTGCTCCTTACTGCCTCAGCAGGCTGGGGACAGATGCCAGGCACTTCCTGGGGAGCCCCAACTCACCCCAGAAGGCAGCATCCAGCTGCTGCTGCTTAGACCCGTATTCTGGTTAGGCGGTACCTCACCTGCCAGTCCCAGGTATTCCAGGTATTTTCCTTTCCACTGCCCCCACAGACTCAGCACAAGAAGGCACTTTTTGGAGGCTTCTGGGGTACCCTCCACCCCGGCCCCCCCCCCTTGGCAATAGTCCTGCAGGTCCTGCTTGTCCACTCCTGGGGACTAGGAGCTCACTACCTCCCAAGATGACCCCGCCCAACTTGATACAGAGCTTACTGTATCAAGTAGGAAAGGTTTTCTTGAAAATTACTTAGATGTTGTTTTTTAAAGCAGATTACAAAACAGTGTATGCAGTGGTATCCCATGTTTATAGATGCAAAATAATTATATACACAGGAATATGTATCTGTCAGATGATGTAAGCAACTGCTTTCTCGCAGCAGTTGATATAAGAATTATGGAGACAATTTCTAGGGTGGGGTGTGAAGTTCCCAGGGGCATGTTCAGGGAACAATAGCCTATAGTTCTCTCTCTGCCCCAAACTGGCAACTAAGAAAGGAGAGCAGGTCCTGTCACCTGGAAGGTCTCTTGTTTTATGGAGTCCCGTGATGGGCACGTAGAAGTGGCAGAAATAAATAAGATGATCTATAAAAGAATGACGTATGCAGGCCCAGGGAAAGTCAAGTAGATGGAGGATGACCAGTGAGGCAGAGTGAGGGGCCCAGAGAGAACCCCCGATCCAAGTAGGATCAAGAATAGGAGAGGGACAGGGGAGATGGAGTTGTGTGGTGTGGTTTGGGGAGTTGTTCTCTAGTTCAGTGTGTGATGTAAACCCCCACAATGGTCTCCCCCAAGTCTTCAGGAAAGTTCTCCAAGCTCTCTCCGGCCTCATAATGTGTTTGTGCTGGGTCAGTTCTTTGAAGAAAAGTTAAAAGGAGTGAATTCTGTTTCCAGGTTAGCATCAGGGGAGGCCAGAAACTGCTCAGGGCCTCCAATGAAAGGAGGCAGTGATGTCTGCTTACACCCACCCACATGAAAAGACAGAGGAAATGCACCCCGATACCCTGGTGCTGGTCTGAGTGGTAGTAGATGGTGGGCTGATTGTCTTCTTTCTGCTCACCTATAGTTTCTGAATTTCTACAATGATCGTATGTTACTTTCATAGTCAGATAAGAACCCTTTTAAAGCCCTTTCTTCTGTTGAGTCACCAGGCTTCAGGCCACAGTCCTGGTTGTGGCCTCTAGAATCCCCATGAGAGTCCTTTGAGTGTTTGGAGACGGCAGTCATGTCCCCCTCGAGTCATCTCTTTTCCGAGCTGAATTGCCCTGGTTTCCTTGACTCCCTCTTTCTTGCCTCTTAACCCTCCTGGCTGCGCTGCTATTAACATACTTCAGTCTGTCACCATCTCGCTAATAACTGGGACCTGAAACTAGACTCTATCCTCGGGGCCTGATCACCCCAGAGAAGAATAAAACCATTCCCCTCCCTCCTTCTCATCACCAAACCTCTAGTAATATGACCTCAGTACCCATCTACATTTTGGTATCTGAATCCCATAAAACTGTGACATGACCAAAGCGAGTCTTATTATGTCCCTTTCACAGGGGAGACCTGAAGCCCAGAGAGAAGTGACTTGGAAAGTAACCACATAGCAAGTAAGGGGAGAGCTGGGATTCAAACCCAAGTCCTCCTGAAACTAATTCCAGACAGAACCGTCCCTCCTTCCCAGGGTCAAGGCCTCTCTGGATGACACATTAAGTCCATGACACCTGAAGGCGAGTGGTCTTTGCAGATCCACTTTCTCTAAATGAAGTGTCCCCCAAGGATCCCAAGTGGGCTCAGAGAGCTGCTGTGGGAAGAGCTGGGGTAAGGAGCCAAAAGCCGGAGGGCAGCAGCGGAAGACACACCTCCCTGCCTCCTAACAGTCTAGCGCGGGAGGGCTTGGGGCAGCACCGCCTCACGGCCCCTCCCAGGGCCGTGGGGCAGGGGCCACTCACCTTCAGGATGAGGACGGTGATGAAGGCAATGGAGAAGATGATCATCATCTTAATGAACTGGTTGTAAGCCATTCCCTCCTGGCTGGGGAGGTAATTCTGCAACAGATTTGGGGGCCACGTCAGTGCATCTGACCACGTGGAACTCTAACGGCACTGACATGTGGAGGAATGACATGCCAGCACTCCACAGACACAGGAACACGGTACAGTGGCACAGCCAGCACCTTGGCTGATCCCTGCAAGGGTGCTGGGAGGCAATGGCTACCTCCCTTCAGCCCCAGGTGATAGGTGAGCAAACCGAGGGAAGCAGGTGCAGCTGCTGCCCACCCAGGGGGCCCTGGCGAGGCCCTATCCACCAGCTGGCAGTGGGCATGGCCTTCTCTAGAGGGCAGTCTTGGCTGACAGAACCACCTAATCCTGAAGTGCCTGGGAGGTCTCCCCCTCCCCTAGGGGCGGTTCCTAAGCAGCGACTGACTGATGCCAGATTACTGCTCGCAGTGGGACAGCCTCTGCGTCATTTGCAGACACCTGCACACATTCTTTGACACTCCTCCCTTCAAAATATAGAGCTCCTTTCCCTCCCTCGAGTGCGGACCAGACCTAGAGGCTCACTTCTCACAGATAAAAGAAGGTGACAGAGGTGAGTGTAACCTCTGAGACGTGGCAGTTTCCTCCTTGCTCTCTCATTTGGACACTCACTCGGGGGGCCAGCAGCCATGATATGAGAGTGCCGAGGCAGCCTTAGTAAAGGTGCACAGGGTGTGGAATTGAGGCAAAGAGCCGACGGCTACGCGAGCAAGCCATCTCGAGGGTGATCCGTCAGACCTAGTCAAGCCCTCGGCACCTGCAGCCCCATCCCCATCTTGGGAGCGACCTCATGCGAGATCCTGAGTCTGAACAACCCAGCTAAGCCACTCTCAAATGCCTGATCCCCAGAAGCTGTATGGGATCATTTTTTTTATCCCATAGTTTTAAGTCACTATGTTTGGGAGAAATTGGTTAAACAGCAATTAAACAACTAGTGATAAAAAACAACAATAAAAAACTAGCACAGTTCATACCCCAGGGCTCCCTCTGGGATCAGGCAGGGCTGCTCCTAAAGCCACATGTCTGCCTGGCTCCTTCCCTGTGTCTAACCTGCTTGCCTCACTACTTCCCAGGTTCATCCTGAGGTCTCTCCATCAATAAATCACTCGCACAAGAATCTTCCTCCCAGGCTCCCCTTCTAAGGAACCCAGCCTAAGCGCTGAGACCCAGAGAGGGGAAGCAACTTGCTCAAGGCCACACAGCCAGTGATGGGAGTGGACCCTCTGCCCAGACTCACCATGTGGTTCATGGACTTGAAGTTGAGATAGGTGGGGACTTCCATGTAGGAGCTGCAGAGGGTTAGGATGCTTAGGCAGAAGTCCAGCAGTTGCAGGGTCATCAGTGGGACCCTGGAGGGGTGCTTAGGAGGACAAAGAGGAGGAAGAAGACACACCAGCAATTAAGCCCCAACCACAGGCCCTGGTACGACAGGACACATTGCGGGGCCCTCAGCTTGAGAGACTGTCTCGGCTAGAGAGTACCAGGGAATCCCTGGTCCACCATACCCAGAAAGAAATGGGTGTGCCTTGCTCAGACGTTCACACCAAGAGCCAGGGGCAGACTCGGCACTAGAACCAGTGTCCTGATTCCCTGCGCAGGGACCTTCCCAAGTATATCTCCCCAGTATCTTTAAGGACACCAGTCAGGAGAAGTGTGGAAAGCAGCTTCGGGGAGCCACGTCTGTGATTGGCACCAGCCATCACAGGCATCCCACTGTGGGGGCTCGGCATGGCGTTAGCCATCTTTATCTTCCTTTAAGACCTTGGTCAGGGGAGACAAAGCAGGGCTGGGGGCTAAAACGGGGCACGTGTCCTTTCCCTTGGTGTGAATTCACCTGCGGCTGGCATTTGTTGAATGCTTACCATGTGTGAGCACCCTCTATACACTTTCCTCATTTCATGCTCCTGAGGCATATTGATAAGATGGGATCATTGATCCATTTGACAGAGGAAGAAACTCAGGGTGATTGGGAGGGGCTCAGGGACTTGCTGAAGACCACCAACTACGAAAGAGCCTTAGGGGTTCCCATTCACCGCCTGCACCCCTCCCACCTCCCCAGGCTGGGCAGTTGGTGGACGGGGCTGGGTACTCACAGCCCTGCTCCGGGAGACAAACTTGAGGTAGGCGGGCAGCTCCACGTAGCACCCCAGCAGGGTGAACAGGCACAAAAGGAAGTCCATGATTTGCAGGGACATGAAGGGCAGCAGGTATTTCTCCCGGTTCTGAAAGGCAAGCCCAGCACTGTCACTTCCCCGCTTGCAGCCTGATGTCCCCTCGTAGGCAGCTCCCTTCCCTCCTAAACCCTCACACCCCACCACATGCCCTCCACAGTGCGGCTCTGAGAACCAGGAGAAGGCAAGACCTAGGCCCTGAGTGCGTGGAGCCGTGGTCCCAGGAGACATAGGACTAGTCCCCATCTACAGAAGCTAAGGGCTCCAGGGGCTCCAGGAGCAAGTTTGACTCGATTCCCTATTAAGAACCCAACCAGGATGGGCCCTTTTACAGATGAGACGGGATAGGGAGGACTCCCTGGAGGTGGGTCACCAGGGGAGATCTGGAAAGGAGCAGGAGAGCGCTAGAGGGAACCGAGCTGGCATGAGCAAAGGCCCTGAGGTGGGAAGAAGCCTGCGCTCCTGAGACAGTCGGACCTTCCCGCATGCGAGTGCTCCTGGGGTTGTTCAGTCATGGTAAGAGGCCCTGAAAAGCTGAGGCTGAAATCCCTCTCCTACTGAAAGCAAGTGACCACTGTGAACCAGTATTGGTGCATATGAACCCACAAGTGGGGACAAAATCACAGAAAGGGTGGTTTTGTGGTTTCTCGTGTGGTTGTCTCAAATCACTCAGGAGGTGGCCAAAACAACCCAGGCTGAGTCTCAGAACCTCCAGGGATGACCTGGCCCGTTTGTATGTCTGAACAAACACCTACAAGTCATCCCTCGAGCCCAAGGTAGAATCCATCCCTCAAGTACAGGGATGGGATAGTGGCTTTCGCCAGGATGCGATGGTGACATTTCAGGCAAGGTGGAGGCATTCCAAAGCAGCACCAAATCATTGTGCCCCTCCGCTGGCCCTACGAGCGCCAGGCCACTGTCTGCCCAGGAAGGGCCGCATTTCCGGTCCTGCTCCAGTGGGCTGTGTGGGGAGGCCTGGCTTCCTGCTTCCCTGGGGCCAAAGGAAGGGCGGTTCCTCTTTGCAGGAGGTTGAGCCACAGCCTGCCTCTCTCATCCACTCACTGGATGGGACTGAGCTGGATGTGTCTCTATTCTCCCCTCTGCTTTGGCTCCTCTCACTGATTATAAATCCCGCGGCGTTCTCCCCTCCCCCCAAGCCTCAAAGCGGCTCTTCTTTTCTCTATCCAAACTCCCTGCCTCCATTTGTAGTTGAAAAGGTTGTGGGTCACCAGCGACAATCTCTAGGGTGCAGGTGGGGGTCTCCCAAAGTACTCACCTCTCACCCTCTCAGCAAGCAGTGCTGCTCACCCAGGGGGTGTCACTAGGAGGGGGCAGGAGGGACGCTGGGGCTCACCCAGTCCTGGTTCCCTCCCCCTCTCCTAACAGGGCCCTCACCTTGATCACGCCCATCAGCAGACTCACACTGATGACGAAGAGCATGGTGATGAGCAGGAAGCTGGAGATCAGGTCAGCTGAAAGGCAAGGGAGAGCGGTGAGGGCCCAGAGGTGCCTGCAGGGAACCCCACCCTGGGCTTCAAGAACCACACTTTGGGAACCGCTGGTGTAGGGGTGATGGCTATGAACTAGAAAGCCCGGGCCCTGCCCTCCTGCAGTTCTCTGTCTTGAGGGGCTACAAAGACATAAACAAAACATGTTGGGTGACACAGGAGGGTGCAATAGAGGGTGTCGGCTGGGAGAGCGGGCTGGGGGTCTGCTTTAACCAGGGTGAGGTCAGGGAAGGCCTCTGAGAGCAAGGCATCCACACAAGGTGTGGTCAGCTGGAGAATGGGGAGCCAGGGGGAGCCTGGAGGAAGCTTTGAGATGTGGCCAAAGAGGTCAGCAGGGGCTGGATTTCAAGGTGAGGAGTCTCAATGTCATTCCAGTGCGATGGGCAGCCATTGCAGGTGTAAGCAGAAGAGTCTTTCGAAACTGGTTAGGTTTGCAAAGCACCATTCTATCTGCTCCCACACCTGGAGACCCAGGTGGGGACAGGTGGAATAGCCCCATTTGCAGATGAAAGATTTGAGGCTCAAAACGGGAAGTGGCAGGGCCTCAAATCCCAGCCTGTCTACCCCCCAGCCAGGGCCCCTCCCCTCTCCTTCCCCCCTCCCGCTTCCTGTCCCCTGGACCTACCGATCCTGAGGTAGCTTGTCTGTGAGAATTTGCAGGAGGCTTTGCCGCGGGCCACCTCCACGGAGTGCTCGATGAACAGTAAGACACTCATGATCTGGGGGCAGAACAGAGCATCAGTCAGCCGGGGGTCTGCACCGTTCCCCCACCAGCACCTCCCTCCCCTAGGGTGTGCAGTCCATCAAGAGCCTGTGGGGGGCGGGGGGGGGGTCCTGGAAGAGATAAGAATGCCAGGTCAGTGGAACGTCCTAGATAAAAATATGGCCTGTACAGATAGAAAGCTCGAGCACATCATCCTGGTTCTTCCTCTTCCCAGCTGTGGGAGCTTGGGCAAGTTACTTGGCCTCCCTGTGCCTCAGTTCCCCCCCCCCCTCTGTAAATTGATACTATAGTAGCTACCTTAGGAGGCTATTAGGAGGGGTAAATGAGAACATCCCAGGAGAGCACTTAGAACCATGTTCTCAGTATAGCGGTCACTGGGACTATTGAATGTCAGGCTTGAAAAGAAGATGGGGGGCTGAGACTAGGCCCCTCCTATGCACCGCTTTTATAATGACAGGCATTGGGCATCATGGGGTCTTAGTCATCTTAACATTAGAGAGCTTCAAGTTCTTGGAGTCATCAACAGAGGCATGGAAGCATCTGACCCGTGAATCTCCAGGGTGCCCTGCCAAAACCATCTATCCCCCACAACTCAATTTCCCCATCTGCAAAATGGGGATAATAACAGTACTTGCCTCATAGGGTTGTAGTGGGACCAGATGGGATATAATTCACTTACAGTGCCTGGCAGATCATAAGCCCTCTGTGCTCCCTGTTATTAATACTATCATCCCCACTGGGCTGTAGGTTCTTATGGCTCTCTTGTTCACTGCTCTAGTTATTGTATTTGATGAATAAATTAATGGATGGATGGATGAACAAATGAACCCCATCCCCTCAGGGGACGCTTGCTAAGAATGGTGGAGGAGGGGCAAATCTGATGGGACTGAGTATTGGGGTGGTCCTGGTAAGATCTGAAGTCCAGCCACAAAACCACAGCTTAAAAGGACCTTGAGGGTCACCTGGCCCATGCCCTCCACCTTCTAATGCAAGAATCCTGGGTCATGCAGCCTCTACTTAAATGCTTCCAGCCACAGGGAACTCACAATCTTCTGTATATCTATGTCCTTACAGCCCACCACACACACGCACACACACACATACAACTCTCCAGGCACCATCCACCCACACTGAGAACAAAACCATCTCCTCCCTCCTAGTAGGTGCCCTACCTCTATTAATATGGCCTAAGTTTACATTGGCTTTCTAGGCTGCCCTGCACTGGTAACTCATGCTCATCTGACAGGCAACCAGACACCCACCATCTGTTTCCCCCTTGCTGACTGTGTGGGGTTTTTTTAGCTCAGACACAGGTCTCAATCTGTCTTCCTGCCATGTTACATCCTGTTCAGGGGGCAGAAAGGGACAACAAAGAGGAGTGATGAAGAGCTGGACTCCAGAGTCAGACACAGATGGGCTTGAATCCAGGTCATTATTTGACCTTGGGCAAAGTCCTTTCACTTCTCAGTTCTCGCAGCTCGAAAATGGCAACCACTGGGTTTAGTAAGGAAGAAATTGCATTGTGTTTGCAAAGCACTGAGCTTAGGGCCTGGCAATCAATGGGTGCTCAGCAAACATTATCTTATTCACTTGGGCTAGTGTGAGCTTACAAGGGGTGGCCGGGCAATACCAGGAGCAGGGTGCCCGGGGGCTGACACTGAGCTTGCTTTAGATGCCCCTTCTACCTGGGTGAACCAAAAAGGCTTTGTTTCACCAGGAAAGTTGAGGTCAGCCCAAAACAGAAGGCAGATGCTGTGGGGGCTGTGGCTGGCACCCACAGGAAACAGCCCTGAGGAAGAAAAGATGTTTCTTCAGCCCCTAAAGCCTGGAGCCCCAGCCCCTCTCCTCCCAGTTTTACCTTTAATGAGGGAGAGACAAAAGGAGGCAGCAACAGGGCACCCTGTGAGCTGGGGAGCTCCCTGTCCCAGATGAGTGGCAGCTAGGCTTAGAAAGGCACATGAGTATCTACCAGATGTGGCCAAGAAGACTTTTGAAGTGCCAAGGATCCAGGATTGTCTGAGATCTGGAACAAAGCTCAGAATCAGACAATCCCAACCTCCAGTTGCTGGAAAAAGCCTTCGTCCACTTCTTTTATAAGCTCCCTCTGCTTGTTTTATGAGCTCAGAGAGGTTAGGTGGCTTGCCCAAGGACACACAGCAAGTTGGGGACAGAGTGGAATTGGAGTCCAAGTCTTCCAGTGCTGTCCTGGTGCCTTCCCTTACACCCTGCCCCCCCCTCCAAAAAAAAAACACCTCAGAGCCCCCGCTAGCCCCCATCCCAGGGGGCTCAGATATTTTGATCACCCACTTATGTCAGTGAGCCTTTTGAACGCACTCCTCTATTTTTTTATTTCTAAATTATATGCATGGGCTATTATCCTGGTTTATCATGAACATCATAAAACATACATACAACAAAATCCAGAAATTAATAAAGAAGATGATTGAAAATTTTTTAAATTCTAATACTGTCATCCTGAGGTCCCAGTGGTTACCTAGAGCTTCCCCCCGCTTTGGAGACCACTGATGACTTCCAAACCTCCCCGCCTCCCTTAATTCCTCAATGCTGTCCCTAAATACCGCTCATGGCCCTGCCATCATGCCTGCAATCTCACCCTTAGCACCCCAACACCCCCTCCTGTATGTCCTGTGACCCCAGCAAAGGGAGAGGAGGGGAGGGACATTTGTGCAGCCCAACTCCATGCCAGGTGTGCCACCCACACTAGCCCAATGATCCTCCTATAACCCAGTGAAGGGACTATTCTTAATTTTCCCACCTCCATTTCACAGGTGAGGAAAGGAAGTCTCAGAGAGGCCCAAGGTCTCCCAGCTGGTTTAAATCCTGGCTATAAATCTATATAGCCAGGATTGAAACCCAAGCCGATGGGCCCTAGGTCTGATTCCTGTCCCCTGTCCACTGTCTTCCCAACATCTCCCAACCTACTGGCTCTGCCTGAGGTCTGCCCCCCTCCCCCACTCCCATGTCAGTGCTTCAGTGGAGTCAGAGAGGGATGCCCACTTCCTCTTCCCTCCGAAGTCTTCTCTCCCTCCCAGCAGCTTGTGCAAGCAGCAGCAGCCTGCTCCAGAACTACGTATTTCTACTTTTGTAAAAACCACCTGTGTTTAACAACAGGCTCACCCTTCACCCATTTCACCTTCTCAACAACCGTGTAGGGCTGTGGTTCTCAACCTGTGGGTCGCGACCCTTTTGGGGGTCGAACGACCCTTTCACAGGGGTCGCCGGGTCCTCGTATGTGGGCGTATCTGCATGTGGGCCTGGAGCCAATAGAGAAGCGGTGTCTCGGTTCCTAAGACCATCGAAAATCTGTGTTTTCCGATGGTCTTAGGCGACCCCTGTGAAAGGTTGAGAACCGCTGCTATAGGGGAAGGGAGATGGTTCTGTCCCCACTCACCAGATGAAAACCCTAAAGCTCAGAGAAGGCAGGAACCAGCCCCAGGTTACAGAGAGAGCAACCTCCCAGCCTGACTCAGACCTCCTGCGGGCCCCTAACCTTCGACAGAAGACACCAGCCCCTGAGCCAAAGAAAACTAAAAGGCTCAGCTCCTTAGGACATGGGATGGAGGGAAATTGACATTTATTTAGCACCTACTATGTACTCAGAACTGTATACACAGGCTTGCACTGCAATCTCCCAAAACCCTGAAAGAGGCAATATTTTCCCCATGTTACAGATGAGGAAGTGGAAGCCGAGACCCATACCCTCCTGTAACAGGCCTTCTCTCCTCCCATAAAGCCCAGGCAGACAGCTTTCATGCACCCACCTGTTCCTTATTCACTGTTCCTTGATTCTACGTGGTAAGATCATGTGGTTAAGAGCTGGGGTGCTGGAGTCAGATGGCCCTGGGCTCAACCTGAACTCTGTGCCCTTGAGCAAGCCAGGAACCTTTCTGAGCCTCAGTCCCCTCTTCTGGGAAATGGGGATAAGGACTGGACCTGCCTTGTAAGGTTGCCATCAGGTCAAATGGCAAGCTGGCCCAGAGCCAGGCACACAGGAAGCGCTCCATAAACTAGCACTGCTGGGCAGTGTTCATGCATCTCTGCGGGTATTCATTCTCTCCCTTGCTTGTTCAGTCAGTCAATACTCCTGAGCACATACCGCCCCCAGGCCCTGACTGGATCAGACACTGACCCTGGTCTGCAGGTGTCACGGTCCCCAGGGGAAACTGATGGGTGACCAGTGTATGACAGGGGACACATAGGGGTCTTGGGGGTCTCTGATGAGAGTGATCGCCGCTGTCTGGAAGACTCAGGAAGGGTTTCACAAACCAGAAAAGCGTGAGCATGGCTTTGAAGGCTACAGAGGAGTTTTCCAACAGAGAAGAGAGAAAAGCATTCTGGGAAGAGGGGACATCGTGTGCCAAGGCCTGGATCCTGGTGCAGATCCAGGGAACTCAGGGTGGGAACGCCTCCTCCCTAGAGAGGGGATGTGACCAGTGGGGAAGTGAGGCTCAGAGAGAGGTAGCGAGCTGCCCGAGGTCACACAGAGAGCCTGTTGCAAAGCCAGAATCAGCTTCAGTCCTCCTGATGCCACGCCAGGGCCCAGGCTGGGCGACTGTGTCAATCCTGGCCGTACCCATCCCCCCTCACTCTCGCCCCCGCTTTCCATTCCCATTTTTCACCTCTTCCCTCTGCTCCCTGGTTTCGGTTCCCGTTCCCACCCCCACTCTATTCCTATTTCTCAATAACAAGCACCACTTCCCTAAGCTGAGCAGCTCGGCAAGTGGCCAGGAGGCCAGGAGATATTTTTTTGTTTCCTAGTGGCTTAGAGGAGCCGCTAATAGCTTGAGCTGAAACAAAGGGGGCAGGGGTTGGAGGAGGGGAGGAAAAATCAGGGAGGGTGGGGGGAATGGTGCACTATTGACTACGGGCATGGCCATAATGGTGGCGATGCCACGGCTGAATGTAACGAAAGACATTTTGATCAGGTGGGGCTACAATGGTGACCGTGCTGGGAGGTGGGGACTGGCTCGCATG